GTTCCAAAGCAGAGAGCTATTAAACATTTTCTGCAAGTGTTTGTAAATACAGTAAACACTTTTTAATGTGCACAAAGAATATTTTGTTTCCTTGTACAGATTCAGAGAACTCGATCAGCCACATTCTTTAGAAAGCCTCTAAGTAAGCAATGCAAGACATATATTTGGAATATGAAAGTTTAATCCTATTCATTAAAACATGACAAACTTATAATTAATTGAGAATGGAGTCAATAATGAGAACATCCTTCAATGTAATGATGCTGGTACTATCAGCTTCTAATATGGGAATATGCTGTAGAAAGTGAAGTATAATATGGAAAAATTACAAGTCAGTTTAAAAAAAGAACAGCCTGAGAGTTTTACCTTTAGTAAATCTTGAGATGCCTTAAGAATCTTTAAAACACAAATTTTAAATCCTCAAAAGTCGCATTTTTCCAGTCTTCAAATGAGATAATACATTATGTTGTTTTCCTGTGATGAGGAATAATTCAAGGTCTTACATTGTCTGATTAATCTCTCAACCAATATTTAGAAAAGGTTTCTCTTTGAGCTAATGAAACTTGACAAAAGCAATCTTCAAACTATGCTACATTCACTGATTTGTAAGATATCTCAAACTTGTGTTTTATTAAATGCAGTTTAAATTAGTAACATCTCTAAATTCACCTGCTTATGACACCACCTTAATCTTGCCAACAGTATGTAATGTAGGCAAAAAGACTGCACATGAAGATTAAAATGTTTAGGACAAGCTGGTTGTTGCTTTTTTTTTTTTTAAGGATGCAGTTTTAGTTTAAGATGGCATTCTCTATTGCTCATACTACACTGCATTTTGGGGGATAGTTGCTGATGGCATTCAGTTTACTTTTTCTAGAGAAAAGTGCCCTGATCTTACTGCATAAGGTCTCCCCAGTGATCCCTCCAAATAATTCTCATTTCTTTATCCATGGAAAGATGATAAATTTTAATATACAATCTTATGACATGCTTTGGCTTTCAGTATCAAACAGCGTCATTAGCTTAAAGGACATCACTCCAGAAAAGCAATGTTTTGAGGAGAACAACTAGTAAGGAAGCACTACAGCACTGCCAGGTAGGGATCACTGAGGGGAAGCACATAAACACCATCCCAGCATTCATCTTCACCAAGAGTGCTGGTAGTTTCCTTTCTTTCTGTGAGTGGTCACAGGCGTGCAAACAGGATTTTCCCATGGTTTGAGAATGTGTTTAAATTTGTCTGCCTGACTCAGAGCACTAAAAGAGATTCCTGGGTTAGCACAGCTAAGCAGGAATGGGGAAGAACTGTGGCAGAGATGTAAGTATTAATTCCCTACTGCAAATGTTCCAAGAGGAAATCAGGCCGCCAGCTCATTCTTCCTCTCAAGTCACACTTAAGTTCTGGACAAATAAGTTTCTGAGCTACTGACTGCCCTCTATTTCCTCCTTGCAGTTGTGTGCAACCAAGAAGCTGCATTTCTGGCAATGCCCATGATAAAATAACACAAAGCTCCATTAACAAAGCCTCACGTGTTTTAGAAGTTGCTAGTGCAAATCTTTTTGGGACTCAAGGAAGGATATTCAAATATTGGGTAACACACTCTGACTGGGAAGACTATCAATAGAGTTTCTCAATTTGTTTATATAAATGGGCCAACACTTTTAAAAGCACTTCAGAGCACTTAACTAAAGCAAACAAGCACTTGAACTTTAAATATCTAGCAAGAGAAGTCATTGACAAGTATGACTTGACTTAGTAAATTGTAATATCTTTGCAACCTTCCGTTCATACAATCTCTTCATGAAGAGAAGCACCAGGCTCCCATCTCAACTCCAGCTCTGCTCTAAGATGCAGAATGAGTGGGGTGAGGAACTGCCTAGTTCCCTTTTAGTGCTTTTTGTTAAAGCCAACAGCTTTGCTCCTTCCTATACAGGGATCGTGGGTCCATAATAGTCTTCATAAAACAGCTTCCTGATTTTGAAAACTTATTATCTCTCTTACTTGGCCCTTAAAGTAGGATTACTTCATCTTATAAACTTCAGTTCCCTGATATCCATGGTAGCTAAGCCTTGATTTGGGAATATAACATTTACCAAACACCATCCTACTAATTCCCAAAAGGTCTGGGAATAACTTTCTATGCTCAGGACTAGGGTGCCTCTGGTAAGTAGTCTCATCATCGTGCCAGTGTCATGTGCATTTTTTATATCTTCATATTTATAACACAGCTCTTCCTAGCTACTGCATTACACACAACCACAGTAGTCATTTCCTGACCAAATCAGTGTGATCTGATTCACATACACTTCTCTGCTGACAAACCAGCACCCAAATGAGTAAGACAAAAGATTTTTCTGGAGTTTGGATGGTTTGGGGTTTTTTTTAAACTGATATCTAGCTCAAGTACTAAGCTGGCCCCTATAAAAAAGAAGGTGGTGTTTAAAACAAGCATTTCTGATCCGTAACAGGTAAATATCATTCCCTAAAATCCTGCAACATATCTTGATTTTTATTCCTCTCTGAATGTGCTTTGCCCACAGTCTGCATAATGTGGCAGAAAAGAGGTGGCAGAAAAAACCTTTATTTTAACCTGGTCTTCACCATCTTAGAAAAAGGAAATAAAGTATTTTTAAGCTATATTCTGGAGCTCAATGGCCACATTGGGATTTTAGTTTGCTAGTTTTAGAGGACATGCAGCATGTTCTGGAACTGGCTACTTGGGATTTGTACTGTTTAGTCTGGTTATGAACATTCTCAAAACAGTATTTTGGTAGGAAAAAAAACCGCACAATTGATACAGCTGAAAATATGAACAACTCAGTGCTAAAGCCTCAGACTATGCAGAGTTCCTAAAAGAAACAGCTTTGAAAACTCTTTGAAATACCATGCAAGCCATAATTGGGTTTTAATGCATAAAACGGCTCAGTAATTTAAATGTTTGGAAAAGAAAACAGTCTTTGCTAGAGTTTATGAAGTGGTAAGTCTATTTCTTAGAATGATTAACTATGCAACCTGATTTTGAACACTAGCATCTCCTAGCATATGCTTTCCACAGCTGACACCATGAGAGCATACAGTTTTACCAAATTAATATTCAATTCTGATATTAGAATCCCATTCCTCACCTCCCTGCCTTGAGTAAATGCCTTGGTTTCTACAGAAGTAGTTTTACTTCCTATTCTTAAACAAGTGAAATCAGGATTAAGCTCTGCTTCTCATGCATTTTGTTCTACTGAGTGACAAATCAGATTTGTATGTGCAGGATGCATATCATGACATTTCCACTAGAAACTAACAAAAAAAAAAAAACAAACAAAAAAAACCCCCTAAACTCAGAAAATTAATGACATTAAAGGATAATACAATACTCATTCCTAACAGACCTAATAATTTAGAAAGTCCTTAAAGAGCCCATGGTTTTTGTAGAAATGAATCAAATGGCGAGATGAAATTAAAGAATAGAAGAATAAACTTAGACAAGATGACCTGCGACAGAAAAAGAGACAAAAGCAGTGAAAAGAAACAGACCCAGGAAAAGCACTATTTCACTCTAATAACAGATTCATCAACAGAATATCTGTATGCACTAACACCTAAATTGCGCATCCTGAATCCTGATCCTGAGATGGCAACTACAATATTTAAAAAAAAAAAAAACAAAAAAAAAAAACTTAAATTGCTCATTACTAGAAATAGATTGATTTGCATGAGAAAAATACAGAGTTAAGATTCCCATTCCATTTACGAATATTACGATCCTAAAATAAAGTCTGAAAGTAAGTTCTAACTCCCAGGCTAACACTTCCCTCCTGTTGGTGACAGCATCATTGCCCCTGGGACCTGGGAAATGCCATATATGGCAGCCACAGGGAACAGAATGTTTGTGTGAGCCCTGAAAACCCAAACAAGGACTCAGGAGATGAGTGTGAGAACTTGCAATTCTATCTGATATTCAAAGACAAACAAACACAGAGAAATCCAAGAGGTAAACACCATCAACAGCAAAAGGCCAGACTTTACTTATGCCCACCTGAGCAAAAGCTGTGGACATGCTCAACTTTTCTATTTTTCTGTAGCTTTTCTACCTTCAGTAAAACTTTCTGGTGCACATGGCTACTTTAAGTATATAAATGTAAAATTGGCTAAAGACACATGAGTTTACCCTGCTGCAGAAGCCAATTGCCAGAGTAAATCCAACATGGTGCATGCTGGACACATGATGATGGCTGATATTCTGCAGTCAGCACATTTCAAATTGCTTACTGGTTTTGGGTTTTAAATTGCTCACCAAAGACTAACTGCAGTTATATTTGGGTTAGGTTTTTTGGGGGGATGGGGTTGAGAGAGGGGAGTGGATGGTATTAAATTTAATAGAAACAAATCACCAAGGTATTATAAAAAGAGCAGTTAATTTACCTGCTGCTCTAGAGAATAATTCAGGAATATAAATTTTAGCTTTTCCATACCTACAGCTCTCAGCTAAACATTAGGTTTTCTGAATTGTCTTCATCCCCTGAACACTACATGTGAGAACTTAATTTTGTGTTCTAGCACTTTAGAGTTGCTTATACAGTTAAGAGCCACCTTAATGTTCCTCAAAACTATTCTGAAATACAAAACAACCCTTCGTTTTGAAGGTAAGAATCTGTCAACTTCTAGGACCTTCAGCCACTAACCCTTCTCTCATCCATAAGTGTCTAATACGTTCCCCTTTTAAACTCACTGAACACCTACAGCAGCCAAAACACATTTTTTAACATCACTAAAACGTTATCTCTGACAACCCTAGGACTCTACAAAGTTCAAGAGCAGGAGCAAAATTTGAAAGGTTGGTTTCAAGATTAAGCCTGAGCCCTTGCTGCACCTGAAGGGACACACTTCAGGAGGCAAACACCCCCCCGCTGCTGGCTGCAGTCTCCCACCCCCCGGCAGCTACAGTGTGCTTGTTGCACCAGACAAATCACAGAGGAGAGGGAGCAAACCCCCTTCATGGACTCACCATCCTTTTCTAGTCACATTCACTACGCATTGCATTAGAAAATCGTAACGGTGTTAAAATATTTTGGCAGGATTTGTTATGGCCAGATCACTCACTTCCTTTGGGACACACAAAGCCTCCTCTGGCAATGAAACAGCCCAAATGTCAGCAAATCCTATAGAACAGAAAAGGGTCTGTCAATGTAAAGCCTAAACGAATCTCCAGTTAAACAAAACAAAACAAAACTGTATAACATAAAAATGCACATACAAAAAAAAGAAACAGCCTAGAAATATGCACTTTTTATTAAGGTTTCTTTCCCACCCCTCCCACCCCCCATCACCTTCCAGAAACTTTTGAACAGCATTACAATGAATTCATCAGAAGGTGCTATTAAGAGCACAAGCTCCCTCCAAGTGTTACCAATTCATGGACAGATTAGAGGGCACATTAATAACATAGTTAATATGAAGTGTTTAGAGCCTTTACGTCGGTGACAAATACGACTCAGCCAAATTTCCTGACCATTGAGGCCACGGAGGAACAATTTGGTAGATTTCATCAACAGTTCTAATTATGTTCCTGTCAAGTCGAGAACAAAGTAATCCATAACTGGGGGGCTGCTCGGAGACAGTGCCACGTGACAGTAATTTATGCCCAGGGCCCTCGCTGTAGTTAGTGTGCACAATGCTTGACTAACAAGTGGGTTCAAAAAAAGGAATTTATTAGGGAAAACACAGCCCTCCAGCTCCGAGCAGCTCATCAGGTGCCAGCTTAGCAGGAGTTATAAGGCAAAGTCTTCTTATTTATAAAAGCATCTAAAGTCCAGACTGGCCTCAGCAGGTTTTAAACCATAGGATTTTAACCCAAGGCTTCTGCTGGAGCTAGGTAAGCCCACTGCCAAGGCCAGGATACAACCCCAGCCCCCTTTAAAATCATCTCAGTTCTTGGGACAGTGGCAGTACCACCTCAGATGCCAAGTGGTACCAATGCCCTTTTGCAGTCCTGTAAATAACACACTAATGAAAGATGCAAGGGCATTATTAGTAACAGTAAACTAAAATGTCACAATACACAAATGTGTTTCTTAACACAGCCCAACTGGGAAACAGGCTGAGAAAGGGAAAGGGAGGGGAGGAAGGTAAATGGGGGACAAGCTGTCATGTAATTTTGAGTCATTTTCCACTGTGATCTATATTGGGATACAGCTTCTATCCTTTCAAACAGGATCATTTTATATATGACACTCTTGATGCATTTCACAAAAAGGCAAGAACGTCTCCCTAGCACTCAAAGTGCAAAGCCTGGCAGCAGTCATTCAGGATCAGTTACTTGTATATGCAGTGAGATGCTAGAGAAAGTAAAACGATGCATTCCAAACATATTTAAGAACATTGTCTGTAAACAGAGGGTAAAATAACATTAGCAAAAAATTAGATCCATGTGAGAAACACAAAGTACTTAATGGGTTTTAAAGCAAAGTTTTCTGAAGGTCCTGTGTGGCCCCAGGAAGGCTGACTTCACTCACATTTCCCACTGCTAGAATGGGTACAAGTATGCAGATTTGTACCCACATGACATATCTTGCCAATGGATTTTAGACTATAAAAATGCTATTGGCTTCACTAAACTATTGCTCTTAGTTACATTTTAAATTACTAGTTGACCAGTGGCACGGAGGAAACGCAGACTGCAGAAGTACCTCTAAACCCACAGCTTCTCCTTTCACAATCTACTAAAGTTTCTTATCCAGATTTGCTTGAACTTGTACATTCTCTGATATCAAATCTAGGGACTTTCCCAGCACCTACTGAGTGGGACAGGATAGTCTCATATGACTGAAGCGTCACAGATTTACAATTACTTGCTCCAAGGATGAAAAAAAAAATATTTTAAAAGCAGTGGTGGCTTTGTAAAGAGGAAAGGGAAGAACGCAATCGTATTCTGCAGATGCAAAAAGAGAAACCTTTCTGCAAGTCAGAGAGACAGTAATTCAGAAGCCAAGCAATGCCTGGACGTTCTAATTCCCAGACTCGTGATTCAGTCACAAGACATGCTTCCTTTCCTGGTGAAATGTCATGCTGCTGCATGCTTCTGTTACAGAACACATCCTAACCAAGTGTAGCAAAAGCATGATGATCCCATTAAGTATCTAACATCTAATACCTTGTGAAAACTAATTTAGTGCTTTATCAAATCTCTAGTTTGTATGTAGAGCATAAACTGGCTACATCTGCTAATAGGGCAGATTGACCCGTCCCATATATTATCAAACCACATCAAAGTCTTCTGGAGGACGTAGCCTTAGCTACTTATTATCCCTTGCATTAACTCTCTCACTAGCTACTCAGCCAATATATTTTCCTGTAATACATCTGTCATGATTTTGCAGGGAAATCAGCAATTCTGAACAGTGCAGCAGTTAGATAACAGGACTAAACCCATCATGGTCACCTGGCTTTCCAATCTACTGCTAATTGGCATGGACAGAAGCCCTTAGAGCTGGGCTTGCACAACAGCACACCACTGCCGGGCCCCAGAGATTTGGCCTCTTAGTTAGATCTGTATTTTTAGAGCTTGAGTCATTTATGTGATTTCTTCACAATTTATTACATGCAAGAGAAATAAAGTTGGATGCCAACACCTTCAAATTTACAAGATTTTTTTTTCCTTTTGGCAGAAAAAGGTTTTATTTTGCAAGAGAACATGTGGATTAGTAATCAGGAAAAAAGTGCTAGAATATTAGTAACAATAATGTTGGCAACATTAAATACAATGAGAACATCTTTCTTGGCTTGGATGCTATGCAATCATATTCCCACGTGTTTATTTAGGGTCTTACTTGTGGCACTGTAGAATGAATTATATATCTGAAGCCATGTTTCTAGCTGTCTGGGAACTTGCATATGTGGCTAATAGAGGGTCTGGATGCTTGTTTTGTTTTAAACTAACTATTGCTACTATTTTCTGACAGATAGTGTTTGTCTTTGGACTTGGAAACCCTGAGCCATTATACAGGAGTCTCTTGCTGACCTTTCTGACCATTTAACTATCTGTCATCACTGGAATCCAGGAGTTAGTGGTGAGATATGAAAAATAAACTAAAATAACAAAATACTCCCTCTTCAAACAGAAATCCACTCAATAGAAATAAAAGATTCTTTCATATTGCATATGTGATTGTATGTAGTTCTGAAATAAAATAATATCCATCATACAACCCTAGTTCACATTTAATCCAACATTTGTTTTTCTCTTTTTATGGCTTCTCAAGCACTCTCATCTTCTTTTCCCTTCTAACTTCTGTGCCCTCATGTCTTATAACACGAATGTAAACAAGTAAAAGGCATTTAGGGGGGCATGTGGAGGTATTATTAGGCAATTTGTATAGTTTCTTGGTGATCCCTGATCCCATTGTTGATGGATCATTTTTAATCCAGAGAGTATTAAAAACTGCTTACAGCCCAGCTGTGGTTTAGTATCACCAGCAAAGGCAGGCCAATACAGTATTTTTTCTACAGAGTAAAACTTCTAACAAGTAAACTTTCAGCCAAGGGAAATAAATTAGAAAACAACAACAACAAGGCAGGCATGAGTTAAAACACCACAATTCTATGTTACTGAATTGAACTACAAGTCTTTGGAGCTTCATCCCTCCCCCTTTCCCCTCCCTCTATATTTTTCCTCTTCTGTTTTTATGTTGAAATCACAGGAACTACGCAGCCTAGCAAGGCTGTAATCACTCAGCAGGAACCTGGCACAAGCACAATGCAACCACCAGCCAGGCAGCAGCAAACTGAAGGAAATCTCTCTCTCCCTCCCCCCCAGGCTTCTTAAAAGGGGCTCGGTGTGAATGAATCTTCCCGGTAGCCACCAACAATTTCTTATTCCTTCCGAGCAATCATCAATTTCAGCATCAAGTGGTTTAGTGGCTCTACAACTGGTAGTGGCAGCGGAGTAAGCCCAGCATGCAAACGTTTTGGCTAATTTAAAACCCTTGTGCTGCCGAATCAAACATGACAAGACAACAGTAAAAAGAGAGGCTATTATCCCAAATGAGAGTCGGCGGATGGCTGGAATTGGCTTGAGTGGCAGAGACAAAAGAGGTGGAAGGAGCAGGGACAACCAGACATGATAATAGCGGATACAGCATGCACTTTCTCCCCCACCCCCAGTTCATTCACACATATCCCACCTGGAGGAAAAAAGGCAATATTTCCAAGTTTCATTGCCAGGAAGAACAAATAAACTTAAGAAGATTCGAAATAAATTAATACCTGGTAAAGCATCTGCCCCATATATATATGGGAAAATGTAACTTAAGAGATATCACCCTTTCAATAGGAACCCTAACATCCCAAAGACAAAACCTGTCATTTCCTACCTGAATTCATGTCCTGCTGCCCCAAGTTCATTCCCATGAGTTGAGAAGCAACTGAGATAGGACAGAATAACTTCAAAATGGGAATAATCTGTGGCGTGGCTACTCATGAACAGCTGCTACACACAACCAGCTCACAAAGAGCCCAGATCTCAAAGAACTGCTGGGGAGGAAATGTGGAGGGCAGAAGAATTAATTTTGTAAGGCAATCGGGAGACCACAAGCGTTCTCATGATGTTGAGAGCCATGAACCCTGGTGATGGCTTGCAGCTCACAGAATGATGACCTGTGGGATCACTGGAGAGCAAGCAAGTTGTCTTTTGCAAGATTAACAATTTAAAAGTGCTGAAATTAATTTTGTTTAATAGCTGTGGGTGCAGACTCCTTACAAAGTAGGTTGCAAGGTCAGCAAGCCTCCTAAAGCCTTTTAAAATGCAGCTTTTTATAGGGACAGTAGATTTAGGGTGGCTTAGGGCTTAAAGATCTAAAAAGCAAAAGAAGGGTAAGAGGTCATTTCCTACCACTTCCAAATCTTGGGTGAAGACATGTTCTCTGTTTTGCTTCTCACTATGATATACAATTGTTGGTATATTCAAAGCTACTTGAGGCAGTATGCATTTCTTAGTGTACACAAAGTGAAAAAAGACAAAATCAACCATGAGAACTAGATCAACCAGCACATAGCAGGCTCATCAGACTCATACTGGAACATGCCCACCTGTGTTGCAATAAAAGCAGTGGGAGATGAGAAACTAAATTTGGGAGATGAAAAAATAAATCTAGGAGACAGAGAC